CACCCCCCATCCACAGCCTCCCAGTTTGTGGGGCAGAAGGTGGTATGTAGAGTGGGAGTGGAGCGGGTAGGGGGGTACCAAGCAGTGCCTGGCAGGCTGGAACTCTGACAGCCTGCAAGGGAAAAGCCCTGGGTCCCCATGTTTTTTTATTGTAAAGGAGAATCCATTTTTAAAGTTTGTCTGCGACCCTTTCATATATTCTTGTGACCCACTTCTGGTCGCTACCCACAGGTTAAGAAATTCTGCTCTAATCTAACCCACTGCCTGAGGCAGGATCATCCCTGTGCAAACCATCCCATACAATCCATCATCCAAACCAGGGGTTGACAACTTTTTTGGGCAGAGTGCCAGAAACACCGGCAACTTTGACTAGTAAATTGTTGGCGTGCCAGGGGTGGGCAGTGGGAGAACTGCAAGGGGCCCAATCCTTGTTGTAACAGTGCAGCCCTGGGACCTTCCCCACCATCCACCCCACGGCATTAATGCCAAGCAAAATGCCTTCACATGCAACACTCTGGCACCTGTGCCAGGGGTTGCCTACTCCTGGTCTAAACCCTATGTTAGACTGCCATCAACTCTGCTATGACACAGACCTAACATCCTCACCAGCCATAGGTAACGCACGGAAACCGCAGCAGCCAGCAGCCAATGCCCTGCTTCTGTGTAATGTTTCAATACATGCTCAAGAGATCCTAAGTAGAGGGCCACAGGGATCCAGGAGTTGAGTCACAGAGAAGCAGGGCTGGAAGGGACCCCCAGAGAGCATTTAGACCAGCTCCCACCTGAAGCAGGACTGTCCCTATCCAAGCCATCCCATACAACCATCATTTACACTCTGCATAAAACCACCCTCAATCCCAACACAACACATACTTAACACCTCACCTGCCACAGATAAAGCTGCCACAGCTCCCCTGCCTTACCTGCGGAAGATGAGGGGGTTGGGTCTGCATATTCAGGGATGACCGTGTCTCACCTAGAGTTTAGACTACGGTTGTATGAAGCAGTTCAGAGGGATAATCCTGCCTCAGGCAGGGGGTTAGACTAGAGAAGTGTTTCTCAACCTTGCAACCCAAAAGTGGGTTGCAAGAATATATGAAAGGGTTGCAAACAAACTTGAAACCATGGCTTTTCCCTTGGAGGCTAGCAGAGCTGCAGCCTACAAGGGTCTGCTTGGGGCCCCCATGCCCCACATGCACCCATACACTGGGGAGCTGGAGCCTGAGCGCAGCAGGTCAGGAACAAGGGGCACCGCATTAAGGTTGATCATCAATGCTTACAATAACTGGGTCATGGTACAGAAGAGGTTGAGAACTGCTGCACTAGACAACTGTGGGGGTCCCTTCCAGCCCTACTTCTCTGCCACCTCTGTGAAGAAGTCTCCCATCAGAGAGGAGACCAGAGGGAATCTGAAGCAGTTTGGGCCAAATCATCAAGGGTGGGGGGGCCTTGGACAAGCAAAGCTTTTTGGGTAGATGCAATATATTTTATTAGACCAACTAAAAAGTTGGGGGAAATTGTCCTCTGAAAGCTTTTGGACA